CTGTAGTCGAGTTTTTTTTACATTAACTCTCCACCAAACCATCATCCGCTAGCACGGTGTTTCATGTTTGTTCTTTTAACAACTCACTTATGACATTTTGCAAGCGGGACCGTGGATGTGAAACCGCTAATTCCAATGTACACCGGCTGTTGAATATTTACCGACCCGCGAGGCTCTGATAGCGGGGATGTTGATGGGCACAATAGTCGCCTGTTTCACTCGTCAGAGATAAAGGGACGATAAAGGCTCTATTAATACGGTCAAAGGAGACGCCGGTGTTTGCGGCACCGTGTTTGATTTATCCCGTTTCCCGTCGAAGTCTCCCGTTTTCAAACGTCCATGTTCCATCGGCACATACGTGATTAGTCGTTACACCCATTTGCGATCAGAATTTGTAGGCACCATTCAGGCCAGTTATTTTGTTCTTTTGTTATTTTTTTTAATACGTTAAAAGTTTTTAAACTTAACTCATTTTATAATTATGTTTATTTTCTTAGTTTGTTCAAGTGAAATTTTATTTTTGCCTTATGTATATCTCATAAATAGTTTTGTTCTAATATTAAAGAAATATGAATTATTAAACAGTCACAGACAGCTATACGAATTCAGAACAGTTACAATTAACGTATAAATTTCGTACGTTTAATTGGGCATCGTCAAGAAGGACATTTTTAATATTTTTTTACTCGGTTTATTTATTATTTTTACAATTTTTTAAATTAATATATGATTTTAAATAGAATAAGATACGTTGAGAAAAGTTAATTCACCATTATTTACTGCACGGCAAGGTATATTTACGATATACCTGACAGAGAACCACTTTTGATCATCTTAGTATTTATACAAGAAAATTATTTACATAAATAAACAGCCGTTATGACGTCAAAAAGAAAATTAAAGAGGTTATCTCAAACATCAATTCAATCGAATACAGGATCATTTTACGGCACATAAATATTTTAACTTCATAGTATTTGCGAATATTCTCTGTTCTACAATTGAATACTCTATGGACGTCATTTAGCGACACTTGGCGCCCTAGGTGATCATTACCTCTGCGTTTAAGATGAGCCGACAAGGCGCTATCTGTACGCGGAAGCCTCGGACATGGTGCACCGTAAGCTGTCATGTGCCAGGGAGCACAGGGCATTGATCGTGGGGTAATTTGTGGGGCAGCAAAGCGTTAAGATCGTTAACTCAGCAGCACGTGACGTTTGTGCGGACTCTAATGCCTACACGACAATAGATTTATTCACATACAAGCTGCCGCCCGCGTGTTCACGCTAGCTGACTTCGGATCTGTCGCTGCCCGTTCGCGCTGTCGCTCTCCGGTATTGACTACTCCTACAACTTGCCAGATGATGTTTTTGGCTTCACTGCTTCTGAAGTGGGAAATTGTTTTTGTATTAAAAAGAGATAGCAAGCGAGCAAGCGATTCTCCAGTTGCATTGCCAGATCGTCTCGTATGCATAATACGACATTTCCTATGTGATCGGACCTTCCGCTATCGCGTCGAGGAAGTGTGCTCTACAACGCATCCCGTTCGAGCCGGGGTGCCCAAAGGGTCGGTATTGGGCCCAGTGCTGTTCACGCTCTACACTTATAACATGCCGTGTGTCAAAGGTGTAGAACTTGCCCTCTTTGTTGACGACACCTGTCTATATACGTCATGCAGAATGCCAAAAATGATCCATCGACGCCTTCAGGCCACGGCCATCGCCATCGGTGATTGGTTCGGGCTTTGGAGGATCAAGATCAATCCTCCACCCAATAAACTCATGGATAGTTCGGTCCCATGGGTAAATAAATCAAATATTTCGGTGTAGTCCTTGACTCAAATTCAGACAGCACGTGACTCGGGTCAGGAACCGGGTGGCCTTCGTACTAGGTCGCCTGTATCCCCTTTTAAATAAAACTTCAAAAATGTCCCTTCGGAATAAGGTGACTTTATATAAGGCAGTAGTTCGCCCCATCAAGACATACGCGAGTCCGGTCTTTGCGCACATTGCCCTGAGGCAAATACATCGGCTTCAGGTCATACAGAATCGATTTTTGCGCAGAGCTACGGGAGCCCATATTATAATGGGAATATTGACCTACATGTAGACTTGGAGCTGCCAACCATCGCTCAATTCCTGGAGTTCGCGTCGCGCCGCTACTTCAAATCCGCCGCCGCGCATCCCAATCCGTTAGTCATTGGAGTACTTCTGATACTGAGAATACTCTAAGTATCCTTTATTGCTAAAACCTTTATCTTTCTGAATTCAGTTATCGTTGTTTATGTACGAAATATGTTGTACAGTAAGGCCGAGAGCAGCTGCGCTTAACTCAAATAAGTCACGGTCGCGGCGACGACAAATCAAAGAAACGGTCCTCGGAGACAATAGGTGAACTGTATCGGAGTCATATGTGTGACGCGACAAACGACTTCCTACTGTGGACAGTGCGCTGGATCACCAACCGGCGTGACGGTGGCCCCGAGTTTTGGTCAGGCGTCGGCGAGATGTTTCTAAGCGCGCCGTTTTGAAAATGGAATGGCTTTGTTTTTTATTAGTTATTTAATCATGGAATGGCCAGTTTTTGTACTGTTATTTTGTTCATCTGCTTTGTGACTAGCAATAATATGATCTTTGATTGTTTATTGTATTTAGTGAAATGTATGACGTCAATTTGTGGATCGTACCTTCAACTTGACCTCATACATTTGTTTGGCTCTTATTTCGCTGATACGTTTTTCTTCAGTGTACCAAAGTTAACTTATAATTGAACATTTATATCGTTTTATGATTATTATTTTTTTTTTCAAAATATAACAGCAGCCATTCAAATGTAAGAGCCGTTCACACTTATGTTCTTCCATTTCTGGTGTACAGATGTACTTCATTTTTACACCATTTATAATTTCATCTAATAAGATGTTTGAGTAGGTATTATCATAGATGTCCTTTTATGTATTAAGAACGATAATTTAAATCTCAACACATTATTATTCTTATACATTCCTTACGACCTTCTGTTATAAACACAATTTGAAATTATCATATAAATATTGCTTACTGACCTTATCTTTTTTGCTCCCTGTCAACGCTTTATTCTAAGTGTTATTATAGTTAAAAACTTTCAATAAATCAATTATTTCTTCAAATGAACTAATTCATGTTTTAAAAACGATCGCCTTTAAAAACGTGGCCATTGTTTGTGACCACTGCGTGGAACATGATTAAGAAAATTGGAAGATCGTAAAATCACCGTACGGTACAAAAGATTAGGTTGGTTTCGAAATGACATTAACGCACATATTTTTATACTATTACCCTTCATTTTATTGTCGAATAGTCCTTGGTTGAAGATTTTACGTCACTGATTAACAAAGCAAACAAAAACCTACCGTTGTTAATAGATTTGGCTAGAAGGGATATACAACATTAATAACATGATGGATACAATATAGAATACTATAATTGAATAGATGTAATTGGACAGATACCAGGATGTTTAAAAAAGAACACGGTTAGTGGCACGTGATATTTTTTACATTAGACACGGCTTTTCTAGCGGTAACTTTCTTTCGACAGGAAATACACTTTTTATAGGTTGGTCAATGGGTTAAAAGGCTGTATAACAATCATAAACAATACTCCATATGGTTTGCCGACAAAAGCTTTTTACTGCATACCATGATACGTATACTATGCGGTTTAATTTTTTTTTTACCTACAAGGAAAACTGTAGATTTCTCTTACTAACATGCTTATTATTATAGACGTTGGATAATTTTTAAAAGAAAAGAAAAAAATGTCAAACGTATACCACGTAAATTTGCATGTCAACAACCGCTTTTTAATGTATTTTTTATACGAAACCAGTATTTTAATCTCGGTATCGAAACCCTTATCGGAACATTTTTGGGGTTGAAGACACTGACGTTCGCAACTTAGCGTATAATTTACGTCCAAAGAAAAAACGCAAGGTTAAAAACAAAAAATAATCCTTACTCGGTATGCTTTACTGGGGGTGCGTTTTTTAATATACCGTAAATATCAGCTACAATAAAATCAAAATTTTAAGTATACTGATAAAATTCTACGTTTAAATGCTATATAACATTTTTTAATAGTTGATAGATGCAAAACATTAGTAAGAGAATGTTACAATTGAACTGCCAACTTAACACTTACTTAATTACCAGCTGCCGCCGGCGGTCTTTCCGCGAACCTTTACGACCTGGGAACCTTCAAGAAGAGAGCATAATCTTTCCCTAAAAGTGACAAGTGATTATAGTAGATACAAAATTGTGCTACACTATAAGGTATGTAGGCAGGTTGTATCATCTAGTAAGGGGGTGGTGTTCAGTAAACATATTGAATAGAAAAATTGCAAAATTTAAAAGAGTTCATTTTACGATCTTCTGAGAAGCCCTATTGCTTCTCCAATTGATCGTTTATACACCAAAAGTTGCTGTGTGGCGATTGGTGTAGTGATGTTGCCACAAGAGGAGGAAGAAATATGTAATAAATAAAATATTATTTTTCTTATAATTAATGTTTAAATATTTATAATAGATGTTGTGTTTATTTACAAAAATATATAATATTTATGTATGTGCCTTGTAGATTATTTTACTTTGAGACTAGATAACTTTTTCTATAAATATGTTCTGAAAAATTTATTAACATTTTTTATATCAAATATATTTCATTTCTTGGCTCTACGTGCTATGATATTTGCTGCACTATTGTCGTCTTTACTAACTATTGAATAAATTTTTTTTTAAACGTAACGTAAATTCTCAAAACGTAACACACGTGTTGCGATCAACAGACTTAATTTGTTTAATCTTGCTTTTCTAAATGATGAAGCGATTTGTCCATTCAAAAGTCAGCCAATGTCAATATAAAACATTTAAAAATTTCATTACAAGTTCGAAGTAGATTGAGTAATCCCAGTAAAAAGAAACTGAGACATCTATGCTTCACGGTGGAAAGCGATATGCGACGATGAGTAAATGGCCTGCCATTGTCAGGGTGACCCAAAGGGTGTTGGATCCGAGTGCGCAGTGTGGCCCGTTGGTGGTCACAGCCGTGCCGTCGCCGCCCGCCCTACGCCCGCCCACGGACACCCCCTACCTCGTCCGATCGAAAAATGGGATTAAGTGCCGCGTAGGGATAGTAAACAAGCCGTTTGTCTTTGGGTGATTGTTTTGCACTATGAAAAAACCTTATAGTTTTATCAGACGTAGTCTGTAGGAAGGCTACACTGTCCTTACAGCTCCTTACAAAAAAGTAAAAAAGTAAGGTGACACCCTCTATACCCTACTGCTGTACTTTTTTTTTTCTTTATGCGAAAAGTTGCCAAACGTGCAGACCCGTCACCTGATGTTAAGTGAATACCGCCACCTATGGACATCTGCTTTACCCGAGGGTTACAGATGCGTTGACAACCTTTTGAAAATTGGGCTCCGGCTAACTCACTCACCAGACGAAATGCGAAAGTATTCGTCATACTTCCACTTTACACTGGTCTTCTGTGAGGTCGTGGTACTTACCCGGACGGGCCTGCCCATTGGTGCAACAGCCGAGGGTGCTGCATGGCCCTACCACCGTTAAACTGCCGTTGGACAAATGTCTCCTCTGTGTAGAGCTTACAGTCCACCACGTGAACTCACTGCGGATTGAAAGACTCAACATTTATCCCATTTTTTTATTATTTCGAAAAGATGCAGGTTTCCTCACGATGTTATTCTTCACCGCAGAACACGGGTTAACATAACAAGCCTTTCATTGAAGATGAACTATATTTTTGATCATGTCCGTCAATTAGTTAATTCAAAATGCATAACGCATTTTGGTCAGGTGCATTTGTAAGCTTGTTGAAAGTTGAATAAACCTTTACAAAAGAAGAAAATGCTTTGATAACTGCGGAGAAAGCATTAGGTTTGTAATAAGTTGTTGATAACTTTTTAAGAGAAAAGACTTGGTTTATATATTAGCATTCGATAACTCTTGATTATAACTCAATGCCCAGGAAGTCCTCTTAAAAACATTTACTTACCTATTTAAATTAAGATCACGGATAAAAAATATCATATAATTAATCTGCACTTCAAATCTTATTTAAGTCTATTCAGTTATTAAGGCATGAGATAGAGCACCAGACTTCTAACTTCACAAATTTTAATAAGTTAAAAAGTATGCTAATATGCAAAATAGTTTTATTTTAATTAAATTTTATTTTTATATTAAAATTGCTTAATACAAGAAAAATCGGGATCCCCAGTTGCAGTTACTTTGGGATCCGTTTTATGTTATTTAATACAGAATATATAATGTTGTATGTGTGTTTGGTGCAAAGAGTATTGTTCAAACGTTGCGAACGCTACCGCCGTAGACAGCCTCGACGGGCAATCGTCCGAGGGCGGGGCGGCGATGTCCGTGCCATGACGTGTGACCTGTGGCCCTCTGCCCACCTCGTTTTCCGTTACACCGACAACAGTGCGGCCTTTTAAAAATTGTGGAAATCTTCTTACTGCTGAATTATATACTCTAAAAATAAAAAAGTTGCCAAACGAGCAGACGTTTCAAGTGATGTTAAGTGAATACCACCGCCCATGGACATCTGCTACACCCGAGGGTTGCAGATGCGTTGACAACGTTTAGAAAATTGGTCTCCGGCCACCTCACTCACGAGACGAGAGTATGTTTGAAAAAATCTTCACATTTGATGTTGATGCAATGCATAAAAACCTCGATTATGAAAAGGATAGTGAGAGAATAGTAACCTTTTCAATAGGCTAGGATAATGGCTATCTATAGACGATTTTACGAAAATCGTCAATAGATAGATAGATATATGAAAGATAATAGGCGATGCAGACTGAAACTTTAATTGATGGAGTTTATTAATTGTACCTTATTGCTCAGGGTGCTGTGCGAAAATTTTGATTGCAAAGCTTTCTTAAATATTAATATCTTAAATATACGATACGGTTATGGTGGTATTAATAATGTTTTGCAATGTGCAAGGACTGGAATGATTCGTGATGGAGTATGTGTCTATCGTAGGGTTTCAATGGGCGCACATAATTCGTCCGAGCGTATAGTAATGACTAGAGCGGCGTGTCGCACGGAACGTACCGACGAATACAACCGCGAAATGGCTCAGCGAGTCACGAAGGCCGACGCGGACGGTTGTCATGCGACCAGAAACCATACACTTGATATCACCCCCAAATTGAAGGGACAGAGCAAACGTTTAATCACGAGCTGGCTGACACTTGACTGCTATTTAGCTCCCGGAGGTGAGGTTATTTAGCCTCAGCGATTCGGTTCTACGTATTCAATGCCAGTTAAATTCTGGGCTACGGATGAAGTATGCGTCATGCAGATTGTGGAGTTGAAACCGAAAACATCTTTGAGATAAAAATAAAGGAAAATCCTTGATCATGAACAAAACACGAGAAAATGTTATATGTTAAATTACTAAAATTTTTTGTACACTCGTACTTAACTACTTGCGTAACCCAGAGGGAATATTACAGATCTTACCTTCAACGATGCGTGCAAATATTATTTTTATTATGTATTATTATACTGTATTTTAATGACTACTGATTAAATAATATATTACATAAAATCAGATTAAATTACGTTTAATTTTAAATTTAGCCTGCAGATATTACTAACACTAGATACCATCCATTTTATCCCGTGGCCATGGAAATTTTTTCGTTCTCATTTCATCATCATCATTATTTCTCTGTTACTTTTACGAAGAGATGTCACTTTCATCCTTATTACTTTGCATTCATGGAATTTTCACGAATAACGCTTTACATTAAAAGTGTATATCTTTAACATTTTATAGGAATTACAAGTCCTTTAAAAGGTGGAACCTTATTTGTAATTATTTAACACACATGAATATAGAAAACGAACATTATAGCAAACGAACATTAAGAATTCGATATACTAATAGCCAAATATAAGGTAAGAGATAATAGGCTATATCTTATGATTTTTGTCTATGGACGTTTAAATAATAAATAAAATGATGGTTAGATTTTCAACAACAGGAACATTTGTTATATAATGTTTATTAATGACCATGAATAATCAATAGGATAATGGAATAATTCCTTATATTAAATGTTTTAAGTTTAACAAGGAAGGTTGACATCATGTCAGCCCGACCAGCCTTATTATGTATACTTTTATTTTATTTTATTTTATTGGGGATAGCAAACAGTTACAATATATGATATGAACAGATCTGTTGCGTTGATGTAGTAATAATATTGCAGCCCACTACATTATCCACGTATTACTACTACATTTACTAACAACATATTACGTATTGAGGTTCGGTCATTAGCATGATTTCATTTGTGCTTGAACGACCGTTGCTAGCAAAGCAAAAGTACTAGACAGACATGAGTAATTATTCGTAACGTCCCATTTTCGGATGTGCACAGTTCCAATTAATAATCCACTCCAAATGTAACTCCGCCCGCCGCGGGTACGCAGCGAAGTTTGTATGGGTCGCATTCCGGCGCAATCCGGCCCCCGCGAAATCTCACAAAGGCCAATTCCGCCATTGTGCAAAAGTATTTAGCACAATAAACGCGGAGATCCGCGACGCGATATTGCATTCATTCACTCGATCATTCACTCGTTCGGTCGGCCCGGGGGCTTTTTTTAATTCTCGAGCACTTCGATTGGCACTAGAGTCGGGCCGCCTTTGAACTGGCGAGTTGCGGAATTCACGCTGTCGTTTTGATTTACCGCACAGATTGCATGCTGGCCGTGAGGATGATGGTCTGCCGTTAAGCATTTCACGTGTGTTCATAAAAACGCGCTGTCGATAAATATAATCACATGGGGGATTATTCGCTTCATAATTAAGAGTACCTCCCTTTAAGTTAATTAATTTAGTTAATAAATAAAAAAAAAACACTTCCAGATTTGTTTCCAGTTTCTCTTATAAAAATTCTAATGAAGCTTTTCGTTCAATAATAATTTCTTGTATTTACGCGATTACACATTACTAAATGAAACGAGTTTACGGATTTCATCGCAATTTTATTTTGTTTTGAAATTCCCCGCGTTTCGAACCCTTTATCGCGTTTACGGTCACGGGAGAGACTAAGGCGTTGGACGTCTGAATGTCATTGTTAATCCGGGCTACTAATTTTCTAATTTTTAATTATTGATTCTTGTGTCGATCTACGCACAACATGCTAATTTTATCTTTTCTTGAAGTAGTGGTTCGTTTGGGTTTTAAAATCAAAAATAAACGCGATAAATCCGTATGTTCTTGGCAGTTCTTTCGCGGTTCACAGTTTCATTTAATAATGTTCGTGCAATGTTCAGTGTTTCACTCTACTGTCAAACGCTTTTGTTAGACCGTAAATTTACATATCGTTTTTACTGGAATTGTAAAATTGAGCGAATTATGATTGTTTGCGTGTTATAAAACAAAAGGCCTGTGTGACCGGTGCCTCCATATTTATATATATAAATACACTCACATTGTATCGGTTCAGTTCTATAATATTTAATGTCCAAAATAACGAAGTAAAGTTATTATATCATAATTACACCGAAAAAAAAAAAAACGGAACAGAGAGTTCGAAACCGTTAAGAAGCATTCCGTTAGCCGTTTCAATCAAAAATTTCATCAAGCCCTTTGAATTCGACTAATACGCTAATTCGACATATTGTGAGGGGTCCCACTCCTTGCAGACGAAAAAACTAGGGCCGGCACAAAAGGTAAGAAAGGGTCAGGCCTGTTTTTTTGTACGTAAAAAATCCTAACCAGATGGCCGTAGCGTTTAGCGACAAAAAATAGTGCGTGCCCGAATTTTGTGCAAGTAGCGTTGACAAAACAAGTTCCGAAACGAATCAATCGACTGAAAAATAAGTACTGTAATTATGTTTATGTATTAAAAAACGTAATTGTCCTTTTCTACGAGGCCTTATTTCTCTTCATTTCGAAGAAGATTTATTAAATGAATTCTTATTTATGGATATAAACCACTATTTCAAGAATTGTTAGTGAAACTTTGTTTTGTTAGTGAAAATTTTATAAATCCACCATTTTATTAACTTGTAACGACAAGTTATTCGTCAGAACATTGTCATTACAAAGTAATTACATTATATATGGTTTTTAATTCTCAATAAAACAGTGTAAAAATTGTCAGCAAAACACACACAAATTGATTTTTGCCAGAGTACTTTTTTATTTGAGATTACTGCGTTTCTGCCGATCGTACCTTCACGGTTACTCAGAACAACGGCGATTTGTACCTATACATAAATTTTTATACAATTAATGGACTGCGTAGATGATATTTTGATAGAACACGATTTATAGCCGGGTAACAGGTGGTCAAGCCCGATGCGTTTCGGCGTATCACGCACCGAAATATCATCGTCCACGTGACCACGTCTTCGCCGTTTGTCTGCGTTTTATAGCCATCGAAGTAAACGAGGAAATTATTGCCGTACTAAAAAAGCGTCCCTTTTTTAATCTCGGCGATCTTTACAGTCGTTCCGGGAAGATTCGGCAGTCAACTGTTATTTTGGCACACAGGTTACTTTCCGATAAGTTTCGATGTGCGTGGAATTGTTTAATTTTTATATTACGTTCTCTATTCGATTTTAATATTAAACATCCGAGTGTTGTTCACGAAACTAACGGTTTTTGAGGAGAGTTTAATAAATGTCCACAAGTATCGCATGAAACGGGGCCAGCAAATGCAGTCAAATATGGTGACTAGGTTGCGGGGCGTCTTTCCGAATTATGTTACGTGAATGGAACACAACACTAATTAATATGGCTAAATTTCAAGCCACGTATTTCGAATTAAGCCTAATGTAAAACATGGCGGGCCAACCTTGTGAATAGCCTTCATAGTACAGTTAAACCTTTTGTGTAGTTTTGACAAAACGCTGCTAATCAAATGGGACATTATGAAGAGTTATTGCCATATAAAGCTGTCACAGTATGAATGAAAAAACCCTCCAATCCATAAGAGAGCTTGAGAACGAAAATAAGATACATATGATGCAACACAAAGATGTAGTTTTTATTCCCCACACACTAAGAGTCGGCTCAGGTTTTTGTTATTCATTAAGGAAAGCTATTCCTTTAAATTGAGGTATATTCCACCACTTTTATGTTTATAATAATTAAAATCACTATCATCATCATCATACCCCTACCCTTGTCTCACCTGGGTGGGGTCGGCACTGCATGTGAATCATGTTGTAAGAGGTTTAGCTATGATTTTTACAACCGGCCGACTGCCTGACGTCAATCCTTCTTGGGAAACAAACACCCAGATCCGGAACAATTATCTGTGGGTCACACAAGCACTTGTCTCTTTGTGGGAATCGAACAAATGAGCCCCAACACCAAAGCCTATAGCTTAATAACGGCGCCACCGTAATAACAGTTGTGCCGTGTGGGAATCCCCCGGTGTGGGGACCCCCGACGCCGACGCCGATCATTGGTGTTTGCGCCAGGGAGTCATCATATGCATATAAATTTCTGGCTTGATGGTGGAGAATTTTCAATTGAAATCTGTCATACACCTATTGTACATATACATATAAGTTATACGTGTGTAGGTATGCACCAACACACGTAGGTATGACTTTATTATCTTAGGGTCAATAGAACTCGTGGAAGCTAGCTTTTCCACGGAATCGGTATTAGATGAAACTTTATATAGTCTTCTGATAGAAAGCTTAACTGCAGTTAATACAAGGAAACTTGTAAATCAGAAAATATATGTATTTATACTTTACTACTGATTTTGGACATCGATCTCTGAATTTACTGGTATGGAGATGGACATGCAAGAACTGCTTATTGTCTTACATTTATTATGGTCTTTTATAATATGGACTCACCGTCTGTCATATTTTGAGATTTAAAAAGTTGTTTGAAACTGGCAATAATACACTGTGTAGTGTAGTCACAATTAAAGAAGTGGGACCTTTTATATATTTATGACATCCCTAACCGCAATAATGTTAGCACACAATCTATACTCGTACCTCAGTGTCCTGTCACAGCTTGTATTGCTTTTTTTTATTAACAAAAAAAATTGCCTTTGACTAATTAAACGTTAGATACCAAATTATATTCAAGTTACATTTGTTAATACAAATGTATAAAAACAAGCCTTTTTTAATAGATTAAGCCCCTTCTTTATTGATATAATATTTTGCATGTTGTATACAATGCTTTTGTAGATAAAGTGTTGGTAAATATTTTTTTATTACATAATTGTCAATGACAGCTTGTAAAGGTAACTTTTACACACAAAGGACAGCGAAAGTTTGCATTTATTTACGTAAGAAGAATTATGATCGATTCCTTCAGATATTATCTCGTGTAAGATCTCATCGTCACGTCCCGCTACCGAAAACAATAAGTTGGTGTCGGCGGACATTTTCCTCACTTTCATCTCGGCAGATAAGGTTACGTGTGCGGGTCTTCGTGATAAACGCTTGATGGACGATTGCGCTGTGCATCGTTCCCATGGCGACATCGAACGTTCTAGAGTTGGCGGGAGTGCACAGCTGTAAAAATCTAAAGCAATAGTTAAACGAAGTAACAAATTATACTTACTGTCAAAATTGTTACTACTGAGTTTTAGTAGCCACTTAAAGCAAGTTTTAGTCGTAATAACTAACTCTGAAAACTGCCAAATTGTTTTGATACGACTATTCATACTTGTACTAGGTTGCTTTACAGATTGTTTTGCGATTTCTGACATCTATCATTGTGTTGTATAAAAGCTATGAACCGTTGTTACATAGCAAATATATTTTAAATATGGCCTCAATTAATTTATTCAGAAATAAGCTTTTAACAAGCTACCACTGACTATGAAAATTTGCGTTTTACTTGTTTTATTCATTTAAAAATCTCCTTAAGGACTTGACTCGATGTCGCTAATAAGGGAATAATACTCTATGAATTTTGGGAGGACCTGTCTACATCTGCATAGGTCACAAGCGGAGGCGGATACTTGTTGATAAAGCGCCACTCGTTGATGGAGATTGATGGCGTCGCCGCTACGAGCACTGTAAACACACCTTTACGCGTGGGTACTAGGTGGACTTGATTACGTGTATACGTGATAACTAGCGAGGTCTTGATACGTTGGTTGGTTGCTGGTGGTGGTGACTTCACAAATTGTCTAGAAAAGCTTTTTGTGTATTATATAGTATATGGACATAAAAGCATAATTTTATTCATATAGCCGATAAGTATACTGTTTCACTTCACCGTCCTTAGTTGTACTAATAATATCTATAATTAGTTCCACTGTATAGTAATGCAAACTATCTCTACAATGATCTGATTCACTCTTAAACGTCAGTTAAAATCAGTTATCAAATGGCTCGCTAATGTAATTTGAGTTGTCAAAAGGATGGTCACTTTGATTTCAAATCACTTTGAAGTATTTATATTTATTATATATTGAATATTTGTATAATTTAAGTTTATTTTTAATTTAACCAAAGATCGCTGTTGATATTACTGCCCATTTTTGTACGTGAATCGAGTAGTGGTGTCGAGTGTTTCTTTCAGTTTATAAATGCAATTCCGCAAGAAAACTTGGTCGGCAACTATTTGCAATATTTAATATTAACAATTAAAATATACAAAATAATAACTGATTTTCTAATTCAATAAAACATAAGTGTCATTATTCTATAAAATAAAAATTAAGAAAAACAACTTTGTCACAAGAAAAGCTTTGGGAGCTTTCAAAGCTTGTTATGAGCAGAAAGGTTAATGAAAAATAATTGAATTATTGACATCGGACACCCTACTAGTGTGCATTTGCAGCCTAGCTGGAATATGCAAAAGTCATGGCACGAAATGCACCATTGTTCGTAAGCTCCCATAACTCGACGGGGGAGTTCAGCCAACATCCGAGGCGGAGTGACATCACGAAATTCGGTATGAGGCGTCGGTAATAAATATGTCGTGGCACGGGGGCCGGCGGGGCCGAGACGTGACCGTCGCGGGAACGGGACGTGACCCGACCGGTACAGTTAGCTGAGGAAGATTTACCACCGATACCGTCCGAACTCGGGACGTGGTTGTCTGGTATCCTTCAATAAATATGCTTACGGCAGTGAAGGGTGGAATTATGACCATAAGTTTGTTGGAACACCAATTCATAATAATTTATACTATAAATATAGCCTATCAATCAGTGCCTAGAAAATCTTCAGATATTGTCATACAATTTAAGTGACATTTTTGTGATTATTTAAATTTCTCAAATTTTCGGATACCTTTTCGGACAAATAAAAGTTCATGAACAGAACTTTAGTTCTAGTTTTGTTTGAGTTATTTAAAAAAAAAATAATTTTAAAAGTAAATCATAATATGGTCTTATTATTAAACTCGAATGTCTTAACGGTTAATTTAACTACATAATAACATTCTTAACCAGTATAAACCAGTGTTTTTGCTGTATGTTTGGATTAAAAAATATAAGTAGTATAAAAGCATCCCTGAACTATTTAAATGTTTTATACTTATCGTGGTGAGGTACTTAGTATATGAAATAGTTACAACCTAGTATATAAAATAATGACAACCTTAACAGTTAAGAAAACTTTGTTGTAATTATTGTGTAAGTGTGTAGTGAGATAACGCTCTCTTAAGAGATTTGATGTATGAATCTACAGCGATTTTACATTCAAAGTACATACTATTGCCGCCATTGTAACATGTGAATATTGAATCTGATTAGTCAAAAGTTAAAAGTAAAAAATGTTCTATAAAAAAGAACTAACAAACCTAAAGGACGGTACACAAAATATTTCTGATACATACATAGATGACATATAATGAGGTAATGTAACAGAACGAACAAACGAGCGAAGGAAAAAATATTGAATTAACTTAATTAATTAAATAAATTGTTGAAGTATAACAAATAATCTTAAATCGAACTGTATCCAATAGCAAATACAGCTTACATATTTTTATCGTTTAACAAATAAAATTAAGGCAAACTCACATTTCTATAACAACTTGAAGCTTCACGAGCCCCTAACAACATGCTAATAGACAAACATCACGGATTAATTAATAACGTAAAGCGACCAAACATCCGACGAAAACTAAGCTCAGGACCATCGACCACAAAAAAAGCACTAAGATCGTTCCCACATGTGGTTATCCTTACAACTTTTTGTTTGCGCCTTGATTCAAACTAAGACAATCCTATGCCGCTGTTCAATAGGGCTAAAATCCTCTAACAATCTTTCTGTTAGTGACCGGAACAATGTTGCCGAAGGAGGTTTTTTTCTCTCGGCCGGATAAATAGGTCGCAGGTTATTTGCAGTCGCAAGGTGCAAACGTACCCTAACGGAACATTTGGTGCCAAAATAAACGGAACAATTTTTGTCGCTTCGGCGTCATGAAACGATAAAAGGAGCTTTCGTTTTTGCACCCAAAACGGCTTTCAATAATTTTTTTTAATTTCATTTAATCATATTTCTAAGTTACGTTACCGTTATGTGATAACATGGAGTTTCAAAACACAAGCCGTTAAGCGGCGCATTTCAAGAGTTATCCAACTACTGGGAAGCAGCAAATACATGAGTTTAATATTGACAAAAAGAAATTCATAGAAAGATTCTTGGTCTTATGTAATAGGAGGACTTGTAGAAACTAAAGTGTTAACAAAAGATGATCCTGACATGTTTATAATTGCCCTGGAAATAAAAACGCTACGAAACGTGGGTCCTTATAACTGTTTCTTTTTTTAATATTTATGTAGAAAATTAAAAAATCATATCTCACGTGATGTGAGCACGTTGCGTATGATCATTCAGAGTTGAATTCGCGTAAAGTCACTTTCTCCTCATAAACAAGATACATGAACATAAAACAAATGACACAAGTTTCTTTAAACATAAATCTCGAAGGTGAGGAAAAAGTGTAAAAAATTATTTTATTTTTTTATGGAGGAAAAACGGGAAAAAATAAATTGATACACGAATTCAAAATATTCTTTTATACGTGTTTGTTAATGATTTAAAAAGAACCGAAAATCAAATGCTATCTGGATTATCATCGCTTAAGATTGGACAGCATTCAGCGTAATAAGCATAGATGGCATTCAGGGTATACTTGTACATAGTTGGTGCAATTATAAAACAAAATCTGTTTCCAGCGTGAAAGGGGCACGTTATTCTTTTAAATCTTTTTAAGTTATAAAACTGATGTTAGGTTGTATAAAATATATTTATTTTTGAATAGCATCTGTATAAATATTTATTTTACCATATTTATAAAAAAAAATATTTATTTTTATTTCAAAGTTAATATATACTCTATTTTAAAAGAATGTTGTTACTGAAACAATATTAAATGCAAGAGCTTGAAATTACCTATCACCATCGTTACGAAATTTTCAAGTTTGGACCCAAGTCCCCGATGAGTAGCCTTGCGGTGCGGCGACCACAACGTGGGTTAAAAATAGCGGAGGTGGGCAAAAAACGCCAACCTCGTCTCATCTGGGCCGAGCCCAACTTTGCGCAATATGGTTTTTGACCCTTATAACCGACGGATATTTATTTTATCGTTCGCTTATCCTGCGCGACTGTAGGGGATGTTCGGTTTAGTTTGCTGAAAAATACTATAATACATTCACGTGATGTTGTTTCCCAATTAGAAACCATACTTATTGATTAAACAAGAAATCAAACAATCAATCAATAAAAGCGTAAGACTTATCGCTTTTGTTTAAGTTGTGCTTCAAAAGTATACCAGTCCTGCAATAACAAAACGAATTCAAATTTCATTTCATTCAATAATTGACAAACAAAGATTCAATAATTCATTAATAATCAAAATCAAACATATGAAATAAAAATGTTAAGAAATACTACTTACATAATTTCTTTGTTTCCTGTGTGTAAATCTAGTTAAGAACTCGTGCATACAACAAAGTGGAGATAATTACAAGAATGCGTTAGCGTATAAACTCGTCTGTTTAGCATTGTTTTACTACGTTCGATCGCTCATTGAATTCTCCGATGCTTTTCCCGCAGCCATTGAATGGCGATTCAGCGCCGTTCCTCACGCGACCGCATAATTCCAACAGAACAAAGCTGGAGCACTCCTACGCCACACGTTTTTTCGGCGCGGGCGGGTCGCAGCGCATCCACGTAACGGTGAGCGCGCAACGACATCCAGATGCGGGCGTCTAGCGGTACACCGCCGTGATTTTTTGTCTGTGGCGTTGGATCGAGGCGCGCTTTAGGCGGGAGAAGTGTCGAATGTCAAAAGATTCGTTTTTTCCTTAGTTTCGCCGTTGCGGTTGTATGTAAAGCCATCGGGGAACGAGATATAGCTTTTAATTAAACCTTAAAATAATATCTCATGATATTTTTCGTGATAATTTGCGGATTTTCCCGTCGATCTTTTACACCAATCACGAAATAATCTCCGGAAGGTACAATACTATTTATACATCAAGATAGATTAGTTTCAACATTTATTTATTTTACACTGATCGGTTGGGTTTGTCAGGTGACCGATTTATCATATTAAGGAGTAAGTGACTTCAGTAATCGACAAGTAACCCAAAGTAACTTTTTAGTCGATATCACCGATAGTTAAAGGTAAATATTTACTTATTTTAATTGAGTATAAATATTTACTTGATATAATAAGCGAGGAAAGAGTAGAGAGGGTCAGGAGAACATTCTTAAAATAAAAAATTAAATGTTGCCCGTAAATGAATTTAATTATACTGGCGGCTTCTGTTTCAACGCGTGTACTCTAAATCTTAAAGTACTTTTAGTGGATGCTGAAACATGTGGCCAAAAAACATAAAACGCTCGATAGTCCAACGACAGTCATGGTGAGATTCTTTCAACTTATTTCAACAGCAAATCGTAATTGGTTAAAAGTTAATATTTTACGCCCAATTGTAAGATAAAATTTTACATAAGCAAAACTAAATACACAAGAACAAATATATAATTTTTAAACATAATTAAAATTTCTTTAGTCACCTATTTAAGATTATATGTATATTATGTAAAAAACAGGAGCAACAATTAACGTTCACAACGTTGTAACATTACTACGCATTTCCCACTAATATCATCTTTCATCGTGACAATAAGACATAGTTTGCTACACGATTAGATTATGAGTAAAAAACTTTGCATTTTGTCACTAAGGAATTTATGAGTGAGTAAAAACATAAATATGACATAAGTATATTTATATATGTGAGGAACATTTTTATACATCATGGAGCTCAACTTATGTTGGTTCTATGGCCCAACTGATGTATTAATTTGTATACCTAACAAAGCTGACTAAGTTAAATAAATGTTGAATCTAAATTGTCTCAGTTTATGTCAGGCCTTATTCCATGATTATTTTTCTCTATCGATTAAAAATATTTATAAATATAAGAACGAACGTGCCCCTATAGCAAATAATTACATTGTTTCGATATAAGCGACTTTGTTATTGAATGTACACAGTGGCTTACGATCGAGCAAAATAAACTGCCGTGAGTGTGGTGACCTATGGTGCTGTGGACATCACATGCGACCATAGGCTCGCCAGTGAACCACATGTGCGCCTCTGGCAACCACGTGTAGCCGCCCTATGTCTCGCGCGATAAATGATCTTAACATTGTAAACGCTATATTTAGAAGTAATGGTTTGTGAACTTAGCTATAGGGTCGCAACTATAGAAATGGAGAAGTCTTATTATTTCATGTTTTATTGTCACTGTTGTGTTTCTGTCTGCACGGATGGCGCAATAGTTTAAATAATCACACCGAAAAAAATTTTCGAGTTGCTTGGGTTCATATGTGAAAGACAGGTTAATATCTGAATCGATGTTTCGAAAGGAAAAATAAGAAAGTATGCGGCAGCACCGAAAAGAATGCAAATGGGACCATAAAAGCTTAGTGTCCATAGATGTGTTCTTATGACTTCAAGCTTCGCAGTTTACGTGAAATTGTTATTCGTAATTAGTATTTATTTAATGTGAGATATGATACAATTTGTCTAATTTTTAAGTTACCTGGGATAACAGCGGTACTGGATGGTGAAGAAATCAATTCTCCCAGTTTTCTGCATTGCCCCTGACTACTCGAAACATGAGTTATAATTAAACGCTATTAAATACTGTAAGATAATTTTAATCAAATAACAGAAGTAATTCAAACGTTTGATCAAACATTTGTACTAGCCGAAGTGAATCGTTGACACCAACATTGGAAACCGATGCCCCAGCCTGAATTATGATATCGTGATCATCGAGACCGGAGGTATCAGGTTAGTGTTGTATTATTCAACGGGCTGAGATCCCGCGCCCACGTCCCTTGCCGATTTTGTCCATTGTTGTATTGCAATTACTATAACTAATCCGGATCCAACGTAAATCTCGGGTCCCTCATGTAATACAACATACCGTAGCGAGCAATGAAGTCGTCTGTCGGCTTTATTCAGATTTGTAAAACGATAGTAGACGTGTTTTACTATCGTAAACGCATTGACAGGTATAAATATTACTGTCTTTTTAACATTGCATGTGGTTATACCTGTATTATGCAATGAATTAGATTTGTTTTTTTTTTTATTTGAAACTGGCCAGCGCTTGGCTGCCATCCCACCTGATGGTAAGTGGTGATGCAGCCGTGTAGTAGAAAGCGCGCTTGCTCAGTAAAAATTGTAATTGTTTATACCTATTGAGTATTTTAAATCTAATGAATGTTTTATACGTATTAGCATAATCACTCAGAAACCCATTCACATAAAGAGAAAACAGTGAATTGGAAATCCAACTTCTCGTTTTTCATCACACCTTTATGGGATGATATTTTGTATTCGAACCTAGGAATTACGCTGCTCCACTTCTATTATATACCTTCTTGACTCAGTCCATGTTCTTTACTCGTCTCCCTTAATGTTCTTAAATCACCATGGTTTATTTTTTTTAAAGTGCGTAGATAATTAAAAGTCACGGCCACCGACGGGAACAGTAATACCGCAACCGAAAATGACCGACGTTTTGACAAAGTTACAAACAAAAAGTGTGGCAAAAAAGCACTCAAACGATCACAATCTTGGGGTTAGTTAGTTCTGTTATGGTGTTTTTGGAACGTCGGCCATAGTTTAGAAGTTATATTATTTTGCATTTCCTTCACCGTTGTTGAATGTTAATACTTGTTGTGCACATTATACGGAATGCTTTTGATGGAAATAAATTCATTAGAAAAATTAAAAAAAGACTGTCTATAAACAAAAATAAACAAATTAAGCAACTGTAGTGTTTTGTTTTATAACGACAATATGTTTTGAAATTTATAGGTTCTTGTGACTTTTGTACTTAATTTAACTTAAGTTTATTCTTTTAGCAGGTATACCTATATGATCTCACAGAAGACCGGCGTGAAGTTAGTGAGTTATCAGGAGCTCTCCTTATTAAAAGGTGGCAACGCATCTGCAACCCTACGGGAGTTGCAAATGCCAATAGGCGGTGATTAACATCACTTAAAATCAGATGAACATCGTTAGCCACCTTCTCACATAAAAAAAAATCAAAAATCGTTACTCAACTGTGTAGTTCAAAACAGTTCAAAGAATTCATTACATTAATACAAATAAATTGCAAAACAATTGTAAGAAACTGTGTCTAGGAAATTTACATCAAATGATAAGTAAAGCGTCTTTAAAATATACCTAATAAGCTTATTTGCTTCTGGACACTTCTTGACGCTGATGTAACTGTGACTCGAGTTCATGATTTGGGAAACGAAATAATGAATTTTGGTTATCTGCACACAATATAGAACTAATAGTCCATTGCAAGTTATTCCTTAAATCCAAAATATTACTGAGCAGAAAAAAGTCGTGATGAGAATCCATATATTAATCGGGTGGCACCTTTACCGACTGGTTTGTACTACCACGAAACGGGGCAAATGTTTGTTGGGAAATGTCTCAATGTCATTAGTCTGCGCAACATGTGTCGCAGATAGTATCGGGGACCGAGCAGAGGTCATTAAAAATTGTGTTTATACTCGATCGCCATGTGAGGACTAAAAAGTCGAGCGCCGTTGACCGCGCAGTAATGGAGGCGTCCGTGAACAAATGGTACGCTTCTCATATACATAGAATTCGAGTAGATTTCTATTATTTATGGTTAAGAAATTTGAAAACTGATCTTTTATTCCTTGCTTGTGTTGCATGCTTTCTGATTAGGGTCCCATGAATAAAGTGATGCACTTACTTGTACATACATGTATTATCACATGCATTCAGTTGAAGTGTCAGTAGCAAAGACGAAGTGGAATGAAGAAGACTTAACAAAAACAATAGAATTTTAAGACCGGTGTTTCTCGAACGTTAACAAAGTAAACAATGAAAAAAAGTCGTACGTCATATCCGTTCACGCATTCAATGAATTTATTCTGTATTCTGAACCTAATTTTCCCGTGTTTATTGGTTTAGTTTAGATACATTAATTTTGAGAAATAACATGACAACGTTAAAAAGTTTTCAAGTTCGATGTTACGAATTTATTTACTAAGTTTAATTTCAAAAGATTCGTAAATATAAAATACGCGGTAACATTGTAAAAGTTTCCCGAGCCAGCTCGATGTAATCCATCAACTCTTTCTTAATTATAATCTTTTGAAAGGTCGTATTGAATAGCAAAAAAAAGTGGCGAAAAAACGTTAAATAGTGGACACAATGCGGACCCGGGGTCCATCACCGTAGAGGTCTATCAAAAGGAGATCAGATCGATAGAGACAGACAATGCGCGCGGGTGTTCAGAATTCGAGACTATAAAAAACCGAGAAACACGAAACGTGGAATTATTCGCGTCGTTTCCTTTGAGATTTCGTGAAACCGGGGTTGCTGTTGCAAAAAAGGCAGAAATGGGGGTGGATGGTGAAAAAAGATGCGGACAAAGGGCGGCGCACATGGAGCTTTTTAAGGCAGCTTTTTCTGACCATGCATCTTTTCGGTGCGCCTTCGCACTCGATCGAATCTAGTCAGGTATAACTGACTAGATTCGATCAAGTACTAGGTATAACGAAAAATAAATCTTAAAGAATCAATGCTAATCGAAAAAGCAATGCTATATGGGCTGTGCAAATTCACGTAAACAGTATGACTACAGATTATATACAGAACAGAATTATTTATTTTATTGAGGGTTTTATAT